AACCTTTACGAGCCAGCCTAGTGAAAGGGTCTCCCACTGGGAGAGCCTCGGCTGGAGAAGTGAGAACAGTTCTCACACCAGATCACAGTTTGTTTCCTAGACAGATGGTTGTTGAAAAGAGAATGTGCCTTGCCTCCTCATTTTTTCTCTCACACATGCTTTCACTGTCATGCCTTCCACCATTTTGCTTTGTATTCAGGAGGCCCTCACAAAGCTAAGCAGGTTCTTGGACCTCTGACTCTGAGAACCAATAAGCTTCCTTTCTGGACAATGCACCAAGCCTTAGGTATTTTGATGCAACAACAACAAAAACAGCAGAACATAGCCAGACCAAGACACACCTTCCCAAGCTCCAGAGGGGAAGCAGCATATACTACAAGAGTCTGAATGTCACTTACTCTGATAATCCACACAGAACCCTTCCTATTTTCTAGTTCCCAGTATTCCAGAGAACACAGGAATCACTATTCAGGACTTCCATCTACCTGGTTCTCTCTGCTCATCCATGAGCATTTTCCACCCAGTTTCTGAGACTCTAGGGCTCCCCACCTCACCTGTGCTCGCTAGTCCTTTTTGCCTCTTCGTGAACTCGGGTCATGGACGTTTGCTCCCTCTTCATCCCTTCTTGTTGCTCCAGATTCCTAACCTTCCCTGTGACCATCTGAGAGTCTCTCCATGGTTTTCATCTTCTGGCACCCCATGGAACAAAAGTGAAGACACCACAACCAACAACAAAGCTTCTATTCTTAGCTGACCTTCAGACTCCCAGGCCTTGCCATATGCATTTACCCGTTCCGCACTCACTTAACCGTCATGTCTCAAATGCCTGCTAGATGTCATGCATGAAGGCCAGCAGGATGCAAATCCATTCCCCAAACACCCACGTGTCCTTTGGATGAATAGCCCACTGATTTTGTCTGTCACTTGCTTTTCAGCATGGATGACTTTTTCTGTCCTTTTCCTGAGGTTGGCTCGGGTTGGAAAGGCAGAGACAACAAAAGGCCAACAGGAATTTGGAGGAGTAAAGAAATCCGGGTAAGAGACACATAGAAAAAGTAGAACTTCAAGAGTACATATTTTCTGGGTATTCCTATTGCTGCCAAGACCTGGTAGTGGGCTACAAGGCTGCTGTTTAGGGCTACAGTCTCCCCCTGTACCAGAATTCAGACTGTTTTCCTAACACAGAGAGAGTATAGGTGGCTGGCTAGCAGCTGGGGAGGTTATGTAGCTGGATAGCATTGCCTGGTAAGTCTTGCATGGCTAAGTCCCTCTCCTTATTCCACACCCCTGTCTTTCCATGGTCTCTGCCACACCACACTGCCCTGGTCAGCCCTGTGGCAGACTTCCTGCAATGCTGAGCGGTCCTAAGAAGAAAACCACATCCAGACCCGGCTGTCAAATTTGCATGGCCCACTGTGGAATAAGAATCAGGGCCTGTTCAAAAACAAGAACATCCAAGAATGTGATGACAGAGAATTAAACCTAGCATCAAGTCCTAATTACAGGCTCTACATATGCGTCCATAGATCACGTTCCAATAAAGCTGGCCTTGCTTAGGCCTTATTTGCCACCTAGTCGATGCCCAGTATATAAAAAAAGGTTGAAGTTGGTCAACCTTGGATTATGAAGGCCATATCATCATGGAGAATGAGGTATCAGGGATCTTATCTTGCATTCAAGGCTGGATGCACAGCTTAGGGCCAACCCTGCTGTGCCTCGGTTTCCTGTCCATACACAGAAGAGCCATTTTTCCTCCATCTCTTCTCGGCTGTGAGAAGAGTCTCCAGTGCAGCAGCTGACCTTCATCGCATCCTCAGGCTGGTTCCAGGCAGTTCTAGGAAGGAATGGTGTGTGTCTGCAAACTGTCGGCACCACCGTGAAGGCACAGTTAGTGTTTTGTCCTGTAGTGTCCATGAGCTGGGATGGACCAGCATCCCCAAGTGGCAACCAGTTTTCTGTCATTGAACAGAATGTCATTAGACAAATGAAGTATCATTAGACACAGGACCATGGGGACAGGAAGCAGAACGATGTCAGAGACAGGAGCATGTGGGGTTGGGAGAGAGCAGTTCCTTATCTGTAAAGAATGTAATCTTCCTTTAGGTGGCCTCACACCTCTGGTCTCCTCCCTTAAAGGCTAATGTGATGGGACAAGTTAGGGACCTGTTTAGGAAACCATACATAGGAAGGTGGGTTCACCATAAGATAATGTATTTTTCCTTCCCAGAATTCTCATCCCCCAGAGAAGTCCCTACCAGCTAAGCAGGCTTGAAATTCATCTGGCTGGGTCGGCCTACCTTTCGAGGATCCCCAATTAATGCTTTGGACCTTTTGCTCATCTTCTAAAGCTGCCCCGACCCTGCCATGGGCTTTCTGCTGCCTTGGAGCTGGCTACAATGGCAGCTACCTTCTCTATTTCCTCCCTCTGGGAAGCTGTGACATTTACAGCTTGCCTGCCCTGGAGTTTTCCTAGTGCTCTGTGATAAACCGTCCTCAGGTTTCTGTTTACATCTCTTATAAGTTCTCTTAGCGATGAGACTAAGACCCTAAGAAGGGACTCCAAATTCCCTGGCGTTGTGTGGTGACTCTGCTGGGAACCCCCCAGGAGTCTTTTTTGAATGTTAGTTTTTTAATTGGTGGAGAAAGTGAACATGATCCTGGAGCCCTAGGTGGCAGCGACTAGTACCAGCCAGTCCTAGCCTGTTATTCTGCCTGGGGGGTGAGGCCTGACAGTGATCAAAGTCATTGGTAAGAAAGGAGAACTGGTCATTTTCTTACACACCAGCCACCATTCTAAACCCTCTTAAGGGGCTGGAGAGATGGCTCAGAGGTTAAGAGCACTGGTTGCTCTTCCAAGGGTCCTGAGTTCAATTCCCAGCAACCACATGGTGGCTCACAACCATCTGTAATGGGGTCTGATGCCCTCTTCTGGCCTGCAGGCATACACACAGACAGAATATTGTATACATAAAAAAAAATAAATATTTAAACCCTCTTAAAAGGCACATTTGCTAGGACTCCTAAAACACCCCCCCCTCCGTATTTGCTTTGTTTTTATTTTTAGGATTGAGTACGTGAGGACGATTTATCATCTCTGCCTCACGCTCTTCCTCCTCCAACTCCTCTCGTGTCCTCCAATTCCCTCTCAACTCTGACCCCCTCCTCTTTGATTATTATTGTACACATGCACATGTCCATACATACAATGTACATATAAATACGGCCTGCTGAGTTCCTTCAGTGTTGTTTACATGTTCATGTGCTTAGGGCTGACCACTTGATGTTGGATAACCTATCAGGGAGCTTGAAGAAGACTCATTTTCCCCATCTCTACGGCCATTAGTTTTTCTGTAGCTCTTTACCTAGAGGTAGGGCCTTGTGAGATTCCCTACATCCGTGTTAGGATGTCACCTGATGTCACTGTGCAGTCTTGTTTGGGGGACCACGCTGTTAAGACTGCATGGATGTAGATTCCTGTCGTGTACAGAAGATGCTATCTTGCGACACACACCCTGGTTCTCTGCTTCTCCCAATCCCCTCTTCCCTTCTGTGATGTTCCCTGGGCCTTAGGTATAAGGTTAGAGTGTCCACGATGCAGAAATGGCTGGCCATCCACTGACAAGAGGCTCAATAACTTGCCAAGGCTGTAGTTGCCAAGATGAAGCTCACATCTGTGGGTTTCTGTCTGTGCTCTTGACTGCTGGTGTCTTAACCTATGAATATCTGAGGAAACTGTGAGAGGCGAATGACTGCCATCCTGTGGGGTGGCTGTAGACGTGGAAGGCAACCCAAGCCTGCAAAGTCAGAGGTGATAATCACAAGGATGACCACGCCCATGACCTTAGGTGCCTCTAACTTGATGTCTCTGGCTTCAGTTTTCTTCTCTATAGAATGGGAATGAGAAGGCTTTGTGTTAGATGGGTCCTGCAGTCTCTTCTTGCCTAGAGTTCTGGTGAAGGAAGGGCCTCTGTTCTAGATGTAGCTGATAAAGAAGGGTGAGTTATCTTTGGCACAACCTAGAGGCCCAGGTTTGCTGCCTACCTAGCCAGCCCTCAGCTCACGTGTCATATTGTCCCGTCCCAACACTGGGGGCCACCACAAACAGGACATGGAAGGGAAAGCCAGAGCACAGAGAAGGGGACTCCAGGGAAGCAAAGGGGTGAGGGGTGAGGTCACTTCTGAACTCCTGAAGCAGCAGACGGTGAGCCAGCCGCTGGCTGGCAGCAAGAAGAAAGGATGGATTGTGGTAATCTGAGCCAATAGTGTGGGTTTCTGTCTATTTCTGATCTGGGATTAGAGTGTGCTTATGTGTATGTAGGACAGGGGTACTGATATAAACTTACCAGAGGAGAACACCCAGAAAGGACTAGGCCTTCTGCTGAGAGGTAGTGTCTGGGGAAGGGTCCCCAGGCTGACATTTCAGGGACCCTGGACGAGTAGGGTCCCAACGGGACGAGAAGGAAGAGGAGGCAGATTCTGAGCAAAGACAGAGGACTCTGGTGCTTGCAACAGGTAGTATGCCTCATGCTGAGCTGTGCGGTTTGAGGTTCCCCAGGATGGAGCTGGAAAATGAACTGTGGCTTGGGAAAGTGCAGGGGACCTTATGGAACAGGTTGAGGGGGGGCATCCTTTAGCATGGAAGCCTTCGAAGAGTTACAGAGTACTTTATTAAAAAGCACGTGTTGCATGGGCTTTAATAATGCAAGTATTCTAGCCCACTGTCGAATACATAAGAAAGGTCGGACAAGCATCAAGAACAAAATCCTTTTCGGTTTCTGTGTGCAGACTGAGCAGCTGGAGATGGTTTCTCAGCGGTGAATGCACTCTTTCCCGTGGGTCCGCAAAGCCCAGCGTGAAGCCTGTCTTTTATAGTGCCATGAGGGGCTCTGGAGACAGAACCGCCTAGCTCCTTGAGCAAAGGCCCAGGAAGGACCAGCGGAGGGAGGGCACAGGAAGCACCGGGCTCCACACTGTCAGCAGTGGCCCCGCCTTCGCCACCTAGGCTTCAGGCAGTGGCAGCCGCGTGCTGCTTTTCTGGGCTGGGACCCCACAACACCGCGTAGATAGTGGAACTCTCGGAGCGGGGTGCTGCTGGAGCTGGACCGGACGCGCAGCAGGGGCGGGGGCAGGGACAAAGGAACAGGTCGGGCTGGCGGGGCGAATTCCTGACGACGGAGAACACAGAAGACAGGGGACAACTCGAACAGCTGCACTGGACTTCCCGCCAGGTAACCGTAGGAAGGTCTTGGGAGGCCTTGCCCTAGTCCGTCTGTTGGGTCCGGAGGCCGAACTTCCTGCAGAACAGAGAAGCACATGGAAATCATTTGAGAGGCTGGCCTGGGCGGCATGGCCCCAGGGACAGGCAGCTCAGCCTTGACTTACCCAGGACTGGTCCTGCTCCTTTAGGCCCTCTGCCCTGCACCGTAAGAGGGGTGCCTAGAGCACCAGGGTTTAGAAAGAAGTCACCTCCCCCACCCTGCTTCCCAGCCCCGCGACCCTCTAGTCACACCCAGACCCTGTTTTATAGAGGAAACTGAGGCTTATAGTGATAAAGTGACTAGAAACTCACACTGCTGGCTGACCAGGAAGGGGTTGGGGGTGGTGGTGCTGGGAGCCCTCGTGGGCTGGCACAGTGGTTGAGTCTGCTACCCCATGTGGAAGAAAATAAAACTCAGACAGTTTAAAAGAAAGAAAGGGAAGAGGGAGGGGGAGAAGGAGGGAGAAAGGGGGGAGGAGAGAGAGAGAGAGAGAGAGAGAGAGAGAGAGAGAGAGACAGACAGAGAGAGAGAGAGAGAGAGAGAGAGAGAGAGAGAGAGAGAGAGAGAGAGAAATTCCAGAACAGAAAGCGAGGTCAGAGAATGCGTGGCTCTCATGACTTGGCTCTTCCTCCTGATTCCCACTTGTGCTGTGTGACTCAGTGGACCTGTGCTGCCTCTGGTCCAGGTGTGTATGTAGTGTGTGTGTATGTGTGTGCGCGTGCACACGCGCATCTATGCACAGGTGTACCACACCATGGTGTACCAGAATATAGTGACTTCTACCCTTGATTGTGGGTGAGTCTCTGAACCGGTATGTCTAGCCACTAACCACAGAGTGCCCTGGGGGAATCTGCCCTGTTTGCCTCTGTGGAGGAAATCAGGAATCTCCACAGCATTAGCCGTTGACCTTAGCAGGCAGAAAATGTCAATGAGTGAATGACCACAGAGGTGACAGGTAAGGAGGAAGAACCTGACTGGCACATAAGGGGATGAGTCCCTTAACTCTGGAAGAAGCCAGTACGTATAAAATAGTCTCTTTTCAATGGCGCAGACACAGGGATGCACACCCAGGACAGTTTGTCCTGTGTGAAGTACAAGTTTAGTTTGAGGGGCCAGGTTCATGGCCTCTTTTCAGGTGGAATGAACATGCATGTCTTCGCGGGTAATAGTCATCCATGAAAGCTACCCTACAGATTTTTGTTTGGGGATGCGGAAAAGGAGGTGTGACCTCCGAGATCCCTTGGCCTCTCAGTACTATAACACAGTGAATGCACAGGGAAGAGGGGGCTGCTCCTTCTGGAAGGTGTGGGACTCGCATGACAAGCTGGATGTGGTCCTTAGTCCAGATATTGAGGAGGAGCCTGAGTCTGGATGCTTCAGCGAGAGGGGCACAAGTCTTGGAGGTTGTGCTGGGGAGTCGGGAGAAGTAACGCCAAGTGCATTACATTGAGGAGCATTGGCTGCGGCAGAGGGCAGTGGGCAGAGGGAGTTGAGTGCTGGGCCAGGGAATCTGAGTTTTGCAGTCAGTCCTGGGGGTACTGGGATAGGCTCTGTCGGGGCTAGGCTCAGAAACACGGCATCTGTGACCATTCTAAATGGGAGCCACTGCTGCTTGAGGCTGCAAGAGGCCTGGGAAAGTGACTTTGTAGACCGAACTGGGCTGGTGGGAACGCAGAAGAAAGGGTGCCACAAGACATGGTGTGCAGAGAGGGGAGGGGGCGAGTGACGGTTGTCGTTGGGATTCAAGAGCCCTGTCTAATTATCCCAACAACTACCCACCTGAGATCATCATTGCCTCCATTGCAGGAGAAGATCCTAGAGTTGGAAAACGTTAAGCAGTTTGTCCAAGGTCACGTGGCAAATCCGTGGAGCCAGGGATCTGAGACCAGAAGAGGACCCACTCCAGTAACCAAGTAAGTCAGCGACCACTTGTGGGGACCCAGACACTTCAGACTAGGAGGGGCGAGCTTGTGAGATGGCTCCATAGCTGAAGACACTTGCTGCTGAGCCTGCGGCCGTGGATTCCATTCCTGGAACTTACATGGCAGAAGGAGCAAACTGACTCCTGAAATTTGTCCTCTGTCCACACACATGCTTAAATGTTAAAAAAAGGAAAATAAAAAAGGAAAGAAAGAAAAGAAGAAATGGAGTAGGCAGGAAGGAGAACTTTAAAGACAGAATTGGTCCCAGGGCTTGGGTACGGAGGGAGCCGGTACAGGATCAGGTGCATCAGTATTGAGAGACTTTGTCAGCTCAGCCTGCAGGCCAGCCCTGCCTTGGGACAAGAACTTGGTGAGCCCTTGTGACAGTTGCTTGGGTTGCTGTTGGGAGGAAGCTTACCGGCTGCTGGGGTGCTGGCCTGGTGGCTGGGAGAAGCTTGGCAGGAGGTGAGGGTGTCAGGAGAGTCCCCAGGGACTCAGCATTAGTCACCAAGTTCCCAGCACCCGTTGCTTTTCTCCCACATAGAAAGATCACAGTGCACAGGGAATCCCTTGAGGGAGAATGGCTTCTGTTTATCATAGCTTCCCAGAGCCTGGTTCCCTCCGATGTCTCCCCGTAGAAGGGTTAAATATACAGTTGCAGAATAGTATGAATTGTGTGTGAGGAACAGAGCAGCCACAAGGCCTTTTACGGAGTCACAGCATCGGGGTGTTGGAGGGACAGATGGGGAAACAGAAAGTTTAGAAAATCAAAGTCTTCGGTCAGTTGTCAGTGACTGACAGAAATAGTCTAGACCCTGTGAATCCAGCTCTCAGGCTTTGCCTTCTCCTCCTCCACATGGAGATGACTGTGCTAGAGAGAGGCCTGCAGGCTTGCAGAACACAGCCCTGGGGCAGTGTGTAAACAGCTCCCAGCACCAAGTGGACCATTTCCAGCGAGGATTCACTTTTCTTCAGCTCATAAACATCATACACACACACAAACACACATAACTCGCACACATATACACACACCACACGTCCATACACCACACAAGCACACATAACATGCACACATGCATACCCCTACATACATATACCACACAAACACATATCACACACTCACACACACCACCACACACATTCATATATCACACAAACACATACCAAACACACCATGTACACACACACACCACACCACACACATCCATATACCCCACAAACACATATCAAACACACCACACACATACCATACCACACACATACATATACCATACAAACACGTATCACACATAACAAACACAATATATACATACATATACTACACAAAAACACATAACACACACACAAGCACACATACCCCAGTATATCATCTCTCAAGTGTTTAAATCATTTCTTTGGCTTCTCAAAGTCTTGCTTCTTCTAAGAATAATTTGACAGTTTATTGAGAGAGTTCGAACCTGTCCTGTCTGAGTGTGCACAATCAGGAAGCCCCTAGTAAAGACAAAATACATGTGTGGACTTACAGAGCCTCACAGCACAGACAGGGGAACCCCAAAATGAATGACTGTGTGAGCAGAGACAGGAAAGACCAAGTGGGGAGAAAAGAAGCAAGAGTTCACAGAGCTCATGATGTGGACAGCCGCTAGCTTGTGCAGAGCCATCTTTGGGGGTATACATATTAGAAACCTGGGGTCCCTGTAGCTCAAGAAACAGACAGACAGGCTGACATAACAAGTACAAGGGCAGGGCGACTTTATGAAGTATTGTCCAAACTAGGACACTTTGTGGGTGACGGGGAGAAGGCTGAGAATGTGACTCCTGCCACTCTAATGGTCCCCATGGCAACCAAGCCCAGCATGTGGCAGGTGTGTCCCAGTGACTTTCTGGACACTCTCTTGGCAGGAGCTTCAACACACCCCATCGAGTAAAACCTCTTTTCCATATTGCAGGAAAGTTAACAGAGGAGGAGGGAGGGCATGCTCTGTCTGTCCATGCGATCTCCCCTCCTCTGCTCACTCTGATTGGCAATGGTGGAGTCAGGATTCAAACCCAGGCAAATGGGCTGTTTTAGAGCCCTTGTCGTAAGCAACTTTTGTCCCTTCTGGGACTCCAGAGTCACCTTCTAGGCTCTTCCCTGCTCGGCTGCTCTAAAGGGCTCCTTTCGTGCTCACCTGTGGCCACAGGAGGACGCACATGGCGGGTCTCAGGCTCGGCCAGCTCTGCCCTTGCGCAGAACAGCTGGTCTTGATCATCAGCTTACTCCGTTCTGGCCTTGTTAGTGAGGTGTCCTGTCAGACTAGAGCTGATGCAGGGAATGGGTCCTGAGGCCCTTTCCTGCCTGGGCAAAGTCACATGTGGGTGTCTCTTCCCATGTGGAGAGTGTAAGATTTCTCTTGTGGCAGGCTCTTCTGTAGAGAACGTGTTCCCTAGGTAGTTTATTTTGGCACCCTGCTCTGGCTTCCTCAGAAGGCTGGCGGGACACTTTCTTCTCTTGCTATTTGTTGACACATCCTGGACAGGTGACTGAGGGAGGGGTCGACAGTGGCCGTGAACTCAGGGTGGGTGGAGCCAGACTCCAGGTAACTCTGCCACACCCACACATTTCTGGGAGATCCTGAGAAGTAGCAGCAAGCTCCAATTTCCAAGGTCTCTCCTGCCACGCGTCTGGGCCAAAGATCACTCCAAAATGTGGCCTACCTGGGAGAGATGAAGGAGGCCAGGACTGAGAGTTGTGGGGGTGGGGAGGGCATATCAGCTGCTTTTCTGTAGGTAGCAGTGTAACAGCGGACTGTGTAAATAAGTCTGAAAACATAGGTTTATCCTGGCTTGTCATTCTGGAGGTCTCAAGACCAAGGCTCTGCAGCCCAACCAGTTCCGTGTTGGTGTTTACTTGAGACTTCTCACTGTTGTGACAAACACAACACCCAACAAATGCAATTTGAGAAAGGCAGGGTTTGTTTTGGCTACCATTTTGGGAGTGCAGTTCATCATGGCAGAGCAAGCACTGTAGAAAGAATGGATCTAGCTATGGCAACAGGGGCGGAGGCAGCTGGTGATGCTGCAGCCACAGCCAGGAAAGGGAGAGAAGAACGCAGCTCTCTGCTCCTCTATCCTATCCAGAACCCAAGTCCACTGAATAGTACTGCCTGTGTGCAGGATGAGTCTTCTCTCCCCAGTTAAAACTCTTTGGAAACACCCAAAGGTATATTCCTAGCTGATTCCAAATCCAGTCTGGTTGATGATGACTGTTTGGCCATCACAGTGGGACAGGGCATCACATGTCTCTAAAGAGACATAGAAGAGTCAGAGATAGGGGAGTGCATGTCTCTCCCTCTTCCAGTAAAGCCACTAGGATTCAACACTGTGGGATCTACACTAACGACCTTATTTAGGCACTTTCTGATGGTCCTACTTCTAACACTAGATTTAACTCAAGAGCCCACCTTCTTACTAGGTATGGTGGTACATGCCTGTCATCTTAAGTACTCAGAAGACTAGGGAAGGGGGATCTCGTCAGCCTGGACCACATAGGAAGACAAACCTAAGCCACACCATGAGACCTTGTCTCAAAATGAACAGACAGAACAAAATAAGACAAAACAAACAAACAACACACACACACACACACACACACACACACACACACACACAGAGAGAGAGAGAGAGAGAGCTGGGACTGTAGCTTACTGTGGAATCTTTGCCCAGCATACAAAAGAGGATGCCCTGGGCTCATTCCTCCAATAGCCCAGTGTGTGTGTGTGTGTGTGTGTGTTTGATTTAATCTTCTTTTTATCTCTCAGTGAGGATTAAATTTCAACACTTGACATCTTGAACATTTAACATCTCACTGTTCACTGTATATCTAAATCAAAGCCATGGAGATGGTACTTTACCCATCAATGAGACTGGGTGGGCTCAGCATCCTGATTCTTGCTCGTAGTGTTCTCCTGGATCTATGGTTCCTATGACCTTCCAGAGTTAGCCAGGGAAGGGACATGGGTAAGGCTTGGCATGGGAGCTGAAGGTATATCAGGACCCACTTGGCATCCAGTGGGAAACCCTTCCTCCAAGAAGCTGCATTTGTGACTCTGACCAGGCCTTCATTACTCTTTTAACTAACTCTCAGGAGCACCTAGGAACACAGGAGATGAGCTACAATGGCTCAATTACCAGAGCAGGCAAGAGGAAAATCTCCTATTACCTGCAAGATTGGTTTAGTTTCACTTTATTTACCTTAGAGATTGCTTGGTGTGGAGCCCTGGGTCAATCTGGATCCAGCCAGTGTTCTGGTCTCTGGATGAAGCCCTGTCACAATGTCTTTCTCAAAGGAGCCTTCTGGGAGGTGGGGAGCTTTGTAGGTGCAGCGGCGGGGAGGGCGGGGGGAACCATTTTTCCCCACAGCTGGACGTTGAATGCAGAGAGATGCCCCACACTTGGCTTGGAGCTGGATGGAAATTACCTGGTCCTTAAGAAAGCCTATGAGTTAGGCACTATGGTTATTGCCTCCCCACCTTACAAAAGCAGGCACTGGGGCACAGAGAGGTGGAGTACCTTTCCCAAGGTCGTACAGCTAGTAAGGAACCGAGCTGGGATTTGAACTCCGGCAGCTCAGCTCCAAGGCCATTTCCTCAATCATTGCTTTGTCTACCTCCTCTGAAGGCTTAACTTAGGACCAGTTCTGTTTCTAAGCAGCCATGCGTCCTCAGCACTGGCCCACTAGAAGCTCTCTGTGAAATGAGGATGGTTTCCTACCTGTCTGCCTCAAGTGCTCGCCCCAAGGATTGTAGTGGCATGGTGGCCAAGGCTCCCTGTGATGACTTTATCTGTCTCAAGGTTTTCTGTTGAGACCCTTTGTCCTGGTGCCTTCTGTCCCTTGCTGGGTCTTCTTGGTGTCAGCATTGGTCCCAGGTTCTCCAGAAGGCGGGGACAAAGGTGACGATCTCCCTAGCATTTGTGCTTACTGACTCCTCCTTGGAGGCAACGGATGAGTG